AGAGAGAGAGAGAGAGAGAGAGAGAGAGAGAGAGAGAGAGAGAGAAAGAGACAGACAGACAGACAGACAGACAGACATACAGACAGACAGACAGATAGGTAGACAGACAGACAGGTAGACAGACAGACAGGTAGACAGAGGGAGAGAGGGGGGAGAAAGAGAGACAGGGGGAGAGAAAAAGAGACATGGAGAGAGAAAAAGACAGACAGACAGACAGACAGACAGACGACAGACAGACAGACAGACAGACAGACAGACAGACAGACAGAGAGGAAGAGAGAGATGACAGAGAGACACTGGAGAACGAACAGATTTGCTGAAATTAAACCGATTATTTCTTTAATTACGGTGATATTATTTTTTCAGATTTATAGAGACGAAGTAATGTATCTGCGTCTATTTGTTTATTAGGATGTATGTTAACTTAAGCCAAAAACAAGTCTAGCAGTTTATGGCAGAGGGAAGGGGAGTTGCCTAAAATATGCGATAGAATTCACTGGCCTCCTTTCTTTAAAGGCCTAGTAACATAGTGAACTAACTACAGACGGTACTACATTTTCTCATGATATGACAGCATCTCTGAGCATCGCCGTGGCAGCGATCACCGCGCGTAAGTGTTTTCGCGCCCCGCGCCGGGCGATACACAAAACAATGCACTGTTGTTATTGAGTGTCACCTCTCTATTACTGTAAACCCTCTCTGATACAACATCACAGCAGAATGACTGAGATACTCGATAAAAAATTTCTCCCCACTTGGGATTCGAATTCAGGTCTTCTGCAAGTGACAGCAAAGCGCCTAACCGCTACCCTCAGACTCGCAACTGTAAGGTCGTGGGTTCGAATCTTGTCAGGAACCCAACGTTGTGTCCTTGGGAAAAACACTTTACACCGTTTTTTCTCCTTTCACACAGGTGGGAAAGGGTACCCAGTTATAGATAGTGAAAGATCTTTTCAGTTTGTTTATGTTTGAGCGCTTAATCAGCTGCTTGCTTTTTGGGCTTCCCGGGAAGCTGAGAATGTGTCTGAGTGTTGATCTGCTGTGGTAATAATGTATAATGTAAAGGGCTTAGAGCTTGCGTAGAGTGGGGTTGAGCGCTATACAAATACTATTTATTACAATTATTTATCATTATCATTATTATTATTATCACACCAAAAAAGCCTCCCCCCCCCGGTGGGGGGGGGGGGAAGTGCCACTGACTGAAGTGTCTTTAGGCCATTCCCAAAGGGGGGACGTTTCCCGTTCTTATGCACTGTAGAATTGTAAATGGGCTGATTCAACAATATCATGCTCATAACTGTGCCTGAGCTACAACAGGGAATTGCTGCTCTTTCTTTCCTAATCCTTACTATCGTCATTTTCCTCTACTTCTTTTGTATGTTTGTCATACTCTTGTGACCCGCTATTTCCGGGGTGCCTTGAAAGTCAAAACAGCCTTTGTACTGTTAAAGCTAGATAGGTGAGCAGAGTAAGCCCGATTCTCTGTAAAGACTTCTCTGTTGGCATCCACCCCTTGGCACTCATATGACCTTAAGCAGTTGCGAGCACCATAAAACATCTACTAAATGATACAACATAAAGACGCCAGTCCGAGACCAAGAGCCCAAGGGGCAAGAGTACCCAGCGATTTAAAAAAGACGACAGCGAGAAGAGAGTCACCTTAAGATGCTTTTGGTACACATTGTAGGTGACAGCCACAGAGGCCCACGAGTGCGAGTGGCCAAATATAGACTTTGAGAGGGAGAACAGCTCGTGAAAGTTGTCTCCCATAGTCACCCTCAGATTGGCTCCAATTTGTTCAATTCTGAGAGGGTTGTAGCAGTCGCTGTACTCCAGGATCACACCTGTAGAGGAAAGAGAGCAAGGTAAGATTATAATATAAGGGCTCTCTTGATCCCCCCC